GACTCGGCTCGTTTCCCTCTTCTCAAGTGTGTAAGAAAAATTTAGAATCATTCAGTCAGAAAAAAATCTCCACAACAGTGGACAGCTAAACAAAGAAGGTAGACACCTGAGCAGTGACCCCGCATGTGACCCCTGAACGTCTTGTTTCGAAACCATGCTCGGTAATCTGCTGCTGCTGTAACAGCTTTCTCTCTGGAGGATAGGCTTTCCAAAGGATTTTGAAACCTAACTGTAAGGATTTACTCTCATTCAGCCACGAAAGATTTACTCGGTTTATCCGACAGGTGTTGGGCAGGGTGACGGTCAGAGCTCTACGCGAGTTCTTCCATGAAAACTGGGAAAACTATCTATTTGGGGACTCCTCTATGTGGACAGGAACACTGGGCTTCCCTAATGTAGTGCATTTGGACCCTTCACATACTGGCAACAGGCAGGATTTGAACCAGGCCCTCCACCAGATTTAGCCATCGATGGTTGCAGATTACCCCACAGTGCCACCAAGTCCCTTTAACTTTAAGCTTCTCTCAGTTTGGTTTCCCATTTCCACTTTGTTGGGCTTCAGAAGATCCAGACTCTCATATGAATCAAACCCACAAGTTCAACACTTCCTTATCAGCCTGATCCACTGGGCCACACAGCTGAACTCCTGTATTGATGCTTATCAGTGTTTACTTGAGGTGTTCGACTTCAAAAGTCCCACACATTGACACCCACAACTGCAAGCACACCTCTATCAGCCTGATCTACGGAGTCACATGTTTGAACTGCTTGTGGGGCGGTTTTTAGTCTTTACTTTTGGGTGTTGGGCTTCATTGGTTTGCCTGGGGATTGAACCCACAACCTGAAAACATCGTGTAAGGTTTCTTACACCTTAAGCTACAGGCAAAGATGCTGTGAGCTTCCTTTCTGAGAGCTTTGTAGTCTTTGCTCAGGACGGCATGCTGAGACTCAAACCCAAAGCCTCAAAACGTAAAAGCAGGCAACATACTCTGTAAGCACCTGTGTCTTCTTCCGTGGAATGTTTCTGTCGGAGTTTTCTGTATTTCTTTACAATACTGGACTTCAAAAAGAGAGAAACCAAAGATTGTACCCACAATCTCAGAAGTCTTACTTTTTCTTCCGGACAGCAGACCTCGACCATGAATCAAATGACTCAGGATTAAACTCACTGACCACAGTTTTAGAGAACTCTTCAGAAAGGTTTTCAGTGTTTCCCCTGAGAGCTCACATCATGACTGACTAAATTTTTCAGGCAGTTATTTGAAACTTTGAGACAGTCGTGCTGAACTTATCAAGAATGTTCGGGCGCAAAAATGTCTTATTTAAGAGGTCTTCAAAGCGGACATGTCGCTCTGACACACTGAACTCAAAGAATAATCTAATGCAAGTTGGCACAGGGAGCTCGGTCAGCTGTGCTCGTTAGTCTGAAAAAAGTTTCACTGCAGGCTTTTCAGCGAGACACTTTGTGAAACACGTTTTGTTAGATCGGATGTCGATATCCTACCAAAAGCACCACAGTTTGGGTCGTCCTTCTGTCCCAGTCTTGAGAACATGATGTTTGCTTTATGTCTCGGGGGGGATTTCTTTAAACTTAGCACAACCGTCCACTTTGGTTGCGGTTGAATATTCAACAACGCTGTATCCGGTGTCTCTTCTGAAACACTTTCCCTTGACCTCAATGAAGAATGTCACGAGACAAAGAGAAAAATTAATGCAGCGGGTATCACATCGCTGTTAGTTATTTGATCACAATCCTGAGTTCGAAAAATAACTGATTAGATTTCGACTCCACAAAACATCTTTCTGACAATAACTCAAGAGTTCATGAGGTAATTATGACACACTTAAGATATAATGATGAAGTGATGACATTTTATATCCAAAAGGTTAAAAGTCTGGACCACTTTGACATCACAATGTTCCACAAAAACACCTTTTCTGGCTGTTACTCAGTGACAAAACTCAGAGAAGGGAAGATTCATTTGGTTGGCTACTGCGCTGGTGACAATAACATGGGGTTCCCACTTATTAAATCTGTTTTTGAGCGGATAAACTAGGCTGCCTAATGTCGTCAGTAGGTTTCGATATAGATAATGTTCCTCATGGGAGAGGCAAACCGGAAAAAAGAGTCGTCTTTGTTCTCCTCAGACTCTGAAGACAACATTTTCTGCTTTATTTCCAACTGGTAAAGTAAGAATCCCTTTATTTCAGGCAATTCGTGTGAAATATCTGCAACAGACGAACAGAAAACAATCATTGGCTGTACTAACACTGTGAAGATAATGAGGCTCGAATGACTCAGCGAGGCAGAAGGTGAAAATGACAAAAGAAAATGTTCTGCACGTTCATTTGGTTTGTTTGGTGTCATCTTAATTTCTGAACGATGGGAGGTGCTGGTGTTATTATCAGCCTCTCCAGCAAATGAGGCAGGCTGAGGGAAGTCCTCTATAATTTCAGATTATAGGTTGAACCTTTTTATCAACCTCTACACAGTGTGAACAAGTGTTATCCAAGTGAGTATTCTGACCTTATTTCGACTCATTTTCTGACTCCGAACCATATACAAGGTGCGACCAAAATGCAGCAGGTATGAGCAGAAACTTTTGTGAGTGACACAATCAAGAGCGAGATCTGTGTTCGCCTCATTTTTGTGATCACTGGCATGTGAACATTTGTGATCTCAAACTAAATGAATCTGGAACAGAGAGCTGAATTTCTTGTTGAGGATCATCACTGGTTAGGAGAGGTGGGTCTGCGGCTACCACCAAGAGAAGAAACATTAATTTCCATCGTGAAAGAGCCCTCAGTCTCCAAGATCAGAGAAGGTGCATCAGACCACGAACATGCTCTTAATTTTCTTTACCAAGAATTCATCCTCCAGGGTGACAGTGCCATCACCTAGATAAATGACTTGGAGAAGCTGCTCAGGTCGGTGATGAACGACTTCAGTATGGCATTTGTTGCTTATGATAACACTGTGAACACAAGTGACGAATGGGTGGGTACCTGGGTACGTCATTAACACTCTGAGAGGAAGAAGACATTACTCCAGAGGAAACATAAAAAAGCCAGATTACAGTTTGCAAATGCACACAGAGACAAAGACCTTCATTTTTGGAGACATGTCCTGTGATCTGATGAAACTAAAATGGAACTGTTTGGTCTTAATGACCATCGTTACATTTGGAGGAAAAGGGAGAAGCTTATAAGCTTGAGAACACCATCCTAACTGTGAACCATGGGGGTGGCAGTCTCATTTTGCTGCAGGAGGGACTGGTGCACTTCACAAAATAGATGGCATCATCTCAAGACATCAGCCAGGAAGTTGAAGCTTGGGCACAAATGGGTCTTCCAAATGGACAATGACACAAAGAATACCACCAGATTAGTTACAAAGAGGCTTCAGGACAACAAAGTCAATGTTTTGGGGTGGTCATCACAAAGCCCTGATCTCAATCCTGGAGAAAATTAGTGGTCAGAGCTGAAAAGGCGTGCGAGCAAGGAGACCAACAAACCTGACTCAGTTCCACCAGTTCTGTAGGAGGAATGGGCCAGAATTCATCAAACTATTGTGAGAAGCTTGTGGAAGGAAACCCAAAACATTTGACCCAAGTCAGAACGTTTAAAGACAACGCTACCAATTACTGAGGAGATGGATGTAAACTTCTGACTTTAAAGAATAAAAAAAATCTCTAAAAAATTATCTCTCTCATTTCTCTGGCATTTAGCAAATAGAAATGATTTTGGTAATCCTAACTGACCTAAAGCAGAAAAAGTTTAGTCTGATTTAATGTCAGTTAGCGAGGGAAAAAGGTTGTGTGTCTTTTTATACAGTGCATGTAAACTTCTGGTTTCAACTGAATGCATCATTTAGGCTGACATGTGTACAATATTGACTGCTGTAGTAGCACTGATGTGATGCAATTCTTTTATTTAGAACCAAATATCCAAGTCTAATCCATACGAAACCAGCACCAGACCAAAAGCACACATAGTCCACATACTAGCGGCCATACACTGTAAATCATCTGGGCAGGTTACAAAAGGTTGACGGGTAATAATATATGCCTGTCTAAATAAAAAATGGCAGTCATCAATCATTCACTTTCACTAGCCCCTATGACATATTTGATAGCTTCAGTGTATTATGCAGTCAACCGGTGGCTCTGTGGCTCTTTGCATGCTGAATCCCGCTACGATGTGCACATGTGAGTTTGTTCTGCCCGCACACGTGAACGCTTAGCCATGTATAATCCATTCACCCATTGCACTCCAGAGATCAGTTGATTGCAACCACGTTTGCCATTAAGGTTTATTGTGAATCGCTGAGCCATGCCCGACTGTTATCTCCTCTCTTGGCTACACGCACTGCAGGCAGCCCGATAAGAGCTGAATGATGGTAGTGAACCCAAGTTTAAGGGCTTAAGGATTAATCCTCATGTTTATGTGCTACCACAGAACAGAGCCAAACCACCGACTCTCTTCATTTACTGTAGATCTGCTGCCTAATGGTGCCTGCTGCTGTGCATACCTCATACAGTCATTACGGCGGACAGAGGCTGTGTTCAACAACCAAAAAAAAAAAAGAAGATCCCTGGTTGGGGGGTAAAGCTGGGGCAGCATGACGCGTCACATGGCTCACAAACCGTGACTTCACCATCAACAAATACAAGCTGTAAACATGAACACACACCTGAGGCGAGGACCAGCGCTTCTATGTGCATACAGAACGAAATCCAGAAAAATCATACAAACGCTGAAATTATTTAAATCTCATTATATTGTCTTTCCTGTATCCATCCGGGAGGCAATTACCTTTTCTTCTAACCTTGCTTCACTTCAGACAGACTGTTCCAAAGTGAGAATAAAATTTAAAAAAATAAAAAAAGAGGGAAAAATCAACGTGCCTCTGCTGATTTCAATTTTCATCATTTTTAAGTGTTTCAGGGAATATCCTGTCACCAGCATCTGTTCTGGTTTTTTTTTTTCTTTTTTTCTCTCGATTGAAGCCGTTACTAAACCCACACACTTGTAATCACGTCGTCCATATGTGCTGGTGAATTCCAGCCGCCCACGGTCCCGCCCAGCTGCATGCAGATGCAAACTAGTGGTGGGCTGGAGGGACGGATAGAGAGGGCGAGGGCTTAGAGAGCATGCAGAAAGAGGGCACGGCGAGATTACAGGCTTGCATCCTTATGGGCTGGAATACAGTTTTTTTTTTTTTTTAAAGAGGTGGGATTATGCTGCAGTGCTCTTAAAGCCCCTCAGCTGCGAGCGAATTGATTTATGAAAGGCTTCTATTCCCACAGAAGATGCGAGAGAGGCCGTGTAGACAGGGCAAATATAGACAACTGTACTATGTATGTTTGCCGGTCAGATTGAATCAGTCAATATTAAAGCTCTGTGTGTGTCGGCTGAATTCCCATCAGACCTTATAATGAATTCAACAGGTACGGGCGAAAAATAATATTACTGCCCCTTTCCTTTCCTTTTGCTAAAAGTTGGATGTGAAGATTGGCACCACTTGCTTTTCTGTTGATGCATATGATACTAGAACCAGTTAACTTTGCCTGAATTCACCTTTTTTTCTGTCTGAAGCCAACAAAATCCACCTACAGAATCCACCTAGCAGCACCTCTGAAGCTCACACAATCAAATGCTGCATTGTGTTTGTTCAACCAGTTCGGAAAACATACACAAAATTGTGATTTTGTGCTGTTACATGCAGGACACAGTATTTCTTTCATAAATTTGGACTCCTCTGATCAGTATTGTAGGATTGCAAGAACATAGAAAGTATCGCTTCACTAAATGAATAAATGTGTCTCATGTCCACTTAAAAAAGCCGCTCATCTTGTGCTTGTTTAAAAGGAACTTCCAACGAGTTTTGCTGAATCCCTGTGCGCTGATTATGATCTATCTAGCATGTCAAAGTGGGAGGAAAAAAATGCTGAAGAGCTCCTCCTGAAGGGAAAAGAAAAATCAAAAATAATGCATTTACATAACAGTTTGTGTTAAGCTTTTCCCCCACATGAGACGACAGGCTGCTCTTCCGCTGCAGCGCCCTTTATTTACGTCAAATCCACATCAGGCAGCCGCTGACAGATAATAAAAGTACTTCATCATGGAAAAATGTGGGAGGTAGGCATCTTAAAAAATGGTATTTATTTGTTAACAAGACAAGTTGATGTAACAGCTGTGCAATTTCTGATACAGGAAGAGAGGTGGCACCGCGGTGTAAACGTTCACTTTTACAGACTTTTATTAGGTAAACTTAAGATGCCCTTAAGCAAATGCTCTGCTCAAGGATGCCTGACGCATTGATTGTCATTGCTTTTTTTGCTGTGGGATTTAAACTTCTATGACAAAACTTTCTTGCACACATTAGGGCTGCTGACGCCCCCTTCAGGCATCCGACTTAAACGGCGATGGCAGATGGCATAAAAATAACTTTCCACAGGGGCTCATGTTGATGCATCCGCTGTAGCTTACAGCGATTTAATCCTGTCTAATTTTAGTAAAAAAAATAATAGGAGCAGTTCCTTAAAGCAAATCCATTCAGCCGTATCACCTTTTTACTAAATCAGCTTTTCTGACAACTGTTGCATCTAAGCAGGAATCGTTATCTTCAAACTAATTTGATGATAAATCCATATTAAGGAAAGAAAAAGCCTTGAGATGAATCATTCATAGACAAACTTGGGGAATCGCCTCTAACTGTTTCCGAAGGCCGGTCGACTGCTTCAAAACATTCATCGCATCAGAGAAGAAGGCAAGCTGGAGGGGCAATAATAAGCCATCTTTGTCTCCAATTTAGGTCTGATTAGCCTGTGCAAGCGGCTATTAGTTAGCGCTCGGCTCACGTCTGATAGCAGAAACTATAAGAATGATACATATTCTGCCGATCTGCACTGTTGTAAGAAAGAAAAAGAAGAAAAAGATGGCAATGTCTGGGGGGAGCGATGAATCAGTGAGACCTTTTGGTCGAACAAATTGCAAAGAGAGCAGAGGGGAGGCTGTCAGGAGGTTGATAAACATGAATATAGATTGTAACTTACATGCTCTGTTGCAACGTGATGAAATCTGAATCAATATTAGATTGGAAAAAAAAGCGGTTTCATCATGTCAGGAAAGGATAGACTGGCAGGTGATGGGATTAAGGAGGCATCCCTCAATAATTCAAAATGTGCAGCAAGTCATGTTTACCACTGATCTATTTTGTATATCGCGTTTGATTTTTAGTTTTTTTTATTTTCCAAGCAAACCACACTAACGAGTAACACGCCGACAACACAACCCTGGAAAGTGCACGCTGCGATGCTGTCGGATGGAAACTGCTGTTGTGCATGTATAAATAGAAACAGATGACCTCAAATATCAGATGGATGAGTTACTCAACCAGGGGGCACCCTCTGCTGGGGTCATGGGCAGGAGGGTCAGCTGGATTATGGGTATTTCACCAGCAGCCTGGATGATGGCAGTGACGAAAGAGATGCACGCTTAACTGGAGGGGACGGAGAGCTGCTGCTGCTGTGACAGGATTGCACAAGCTGCTGTTATGGAGATGAGAGCAGATAAAGTGACTCAGCTTAACCAGGGGAGGGAAGCTGTTATTTTTAATAAATACCCCAAAGCAGCTACTAAAAAGCTGATCAGTTTAAGGACGGATTTGCATTTTTTTTAATTAGAGAGATATTGATACTGCCCCAAGGAGAGGAAAAAATGTAATGGTGCAAGTAGATACAAATCTGTGACAGTCGATAAAAAACATTTTGCAGGATGAAAATGATTTTGATTTCCAGTTGGTTGCAGTAGTTTGAAATGCTTCCACTCTTCATTACCTTTACTGTGGTGCAGCCTTTGTGTTGCGCAATAACGTGGCTCCTCCTGCACCAACTCCATCCAGTTCAGAGTTCGCATTCCTTCAGGGCTTTGTCAAGATTTCTTGCTGACAGCTTCCCTCCCTTTCAGTGGCCCCACATGACGTCGCCGGGTGTTGCAAACTGGACTTAGGGCCCCAAACCTGCAGAAAAACACCGTGCATCCTATTTTTTTTTATTTAAAGCAACTACAATGCACTTCCAAATAAGACACCTGGTGCGCCTGAACCAATGCGCTCCGGTGCCACGCAAGCTGGTGAGGAAGCTGTGCACGGCGGCACAACAACGTGGAGCAGCAGGACGGAACGCATCTGCAAGTTTGACGACGCGTTTCGAGGCGCAGAGCTGCAGGAACTATGGCTCCGACTCTGCGTACGGCCGAGCCTTCGCCTCAGCGAGGGACAAGCCCGAGGAGTTCTGGGGGGAGATGGGACGCAACATAGACTGGTTTGAACCGTGGAGGCAAACTTTGCACGTTGAGGATCCGGTGTTCCCAAACTGGTAGGTGACAGAGTTGCAAAACAAGAGGTTTGCGCCAAAAACATGACATGTAAACAACTTTCGCTGGACCGAAATAAGTGAAAGTCTCCTCTGGCGTGGCGCTGAGTGTCTGCAGGGGCGCATCTACAGAGTTTTTACAAGGGTGCCACTGAACCTCTTGGGGTGGGCCACCAACACCAAAACTGCATTTCAGAAATTATTTTATAATATATAGAGCTTTTCTCGGCACTCAAAGACACTTTACACTGTCAATTCATTCACACACATTCATGCCAGTGGTGGGTCCTGGGGCAGACTGACAGAGGCTTCGCTGCCATTCTACCCCTCTGACCACCATCTCAAACAATCGATTCATACGCATTCACACCTGGCAAGGTGGGTGAAGTGTCTTGCCCAAGGACGCAGGTTACGGGGCAGAATCAAACTGTCGACCTTCTGATTATTGACCGACTCGCTCTACCGCCTGAGCCACAGTTGCCCCAATGCTGTCATGCTGTTGTGGTATAAAAGCTGATCAAAAACTGTTTGAGAAGTCATTTACTGATACAGAAGTACAGTTTCATTTTGGTTATTTGGATAAACCACCATTCAGAACAGCTCAGGAGAGGACATGAAGATTTTTACCAAAAGGCAAAACTAGTTTTTCATAACTTCCGTATTAAAAATTCTGTCCGTGTGCATTTAGCTAACTCAGGGCTCAGCAACCTTCAACACTCAAAGAGCCATTTGGACCAGTTTCCCATGGAAAAAGAAAAAAACACTGGGAGCCACAAAACCCTTTGGACATCTAAAAAGACGATAACACTTCATTTATTGTTTTTTACATTTGTGCTATGTATAAAAAACTATAGTGTGTTGCATTTATGAAATCAATGAACTGCTACAGAGAAAACAACATTTTGTTTCTGCAACAAAAACATTTTGAACTCCAAACCCCCCCCCCAAAAAAACGCTAGGTTGAAGGTCACTTTCAAATAAAATACTCAATGCCTATTTGAATCCTCCTCATATATATGAAATTAAAGGCCAAACTTAAGTTATCCACCTGCAGTAAAGTAAAAATGACATCTGGTTGTCCTGCTGACTGCAGCTGGGACTGCTGACCAGACTCCTGACCGCCTGTGAGCGCTTTGGGACGGGAGGAGCTCACGGCGGCACCGCTGCTCGCTGAGGACGGTAACGGCAGAACAATTTCACGTCAGAGTCTCCAAAACACCTGAAAAGTCTCCAAAACACCAGAAAGAGTCGCTAGATTTGTTGCTAGTCGCTTTTGAGAGAAAAAAAAGTCGCCAAGAGGATTTGGAAAGTCACCAGATTTAGTGAGAAACTCACCAAGTTGGCAACACTGCGCCTGCTGGCGGGTGTCACACATCGGCCGTTGTGACGCATATTTTGAGCGACAATAAATTAAACACGTTTTATTTTATTGTTACAAGATCACCATAATCTTCAAATTTAGAATTGCATTTTAAAAACTAATGAACTAAAACAAAAGGAAAAAAAAAAAAATTGAATACTCATTATTTATTTTCCAAAGCCACAAACAGCCGCAGCAGAGGGATGAAAGAGACACGTGCAGCTCCGGAGCTGCAGGTTGCCGACCGATGATCTAACTCCAATCATTTATGGTACAATAAAAAATGCTTTCACTGATGCTCGACTACCTGTTGCCATATTTAGCAAGATAACCTTTGTTAATCCATAGCACACAATAATGTCAGTGCTGCAAATACCCTGCAGTGAAATGGAAAAATCTCCCTAATAAACTCACTTCATATGACAGAAAAATATCTTTTCTAAACAGATGAGACTTTAATGTTCAAGTAGCTGCGATTTAGAACAAGTTAAGTGAAGCTTTTTAAACTATATGTGACAACAGTGCATGCACCTCTTTCGCTTTAGTCTTGCTAACGTGGATCCTGTTGCTGTTGTTGAGGCGTGTTCATTTTTTGAGATAGAAGACAAACAACTTCTCTCATTCGACGCTGTTTATTCTGCAATGCGATAATTATATTTGATCAAGGACCCAGCACTGGTTCAGAAAATCACAGGCAGCAAGCTGTTAATCTGTAACTAACTTCCCCAGCAGTGGATGGAGTTTCATGAAAACACAAACACTTAATTCAGTAAAGTGCAATGTGATTGGCTAGTGGGCATTTAATTCAAATAGTGCAATGTGAATGGCTACATAGGTGGGAAGAAACCATGGTTTTAGACTCAGCTCTCCTTTCATTGGTGCACAGATATGTCCATATCTCTTGGTGCACGATTCATCCAATCCGCAGCATCGGTACCCTGTATAGAAAACCCTCCTACTAGTATTTCCTGCTCTCTGGCTGTCACTGTCACTACTTTATAGGGAGGATGTGATGTTTATCAGTGCAAACAGCCCCAAAAAAGCAGAGGTACGCTATGTGCCACTATGGTTAGTTTTGTTTAACATCTTTACCAGAGTAGAAGCACGCTATGTTCTTGTATCAAAGTTTGGTGTGTGTGTTCCTTCTAGGTGACCTGGCGTAACCTTCATGTGTTCAGTCCTTCAGGGCCTGGGGCTGACCCTAGAGTCCTTCTTTCCCTTTCTTCAGATCAGCACAACTGATGCATTAATGCACATTAAATGGTGTCAATGTCAACGCTAAGGTAGCAGTGCCCTCACAGAATAATACATTCCAACACTGCCTGATGCTGCAGGTGTTTAATAAACTCAGAGGAAAGACTCCTACAAACAGCTGGAAGCTTCAAACTCCAGCTCCTGTTAACACTTTGAGGTTTATGTGAACACCTCTGTCATGTAAAGGCACCAACTGTGTCCTTTGTACTCTCTGTGATGTTTATGGACTTGTTTTACAGTTGGCTGCCGCTATGCGTAATCATTACAGCAGTCTAATGCCGCTTTCACGTGCACTCGGACACCGGAGTTGCATGAACTTCAGTGAATGAACTTGACCTGTCAGACCTGTGGAGGCTAATCACACTTCCTGTCCAAGACAACACTATCTGATTAGATTAAATACAAAGAACCGTAGATTATATGTCATCCTGTAAGAAAACAACAAACTTAAACTCAGGTATTATATTCTCAGATTAGTTTGACTGAAAATGAAAAATACAAAGCAAAAACATCTCATCAACAGATTTTCTGTCATATTTGTCATTTTTGTGGTTGGGTAAAAGAAAACAAGCACATTTTAACTGTCACATGAAGTCATAAATAATAAAAAAAATTATAGAATTAACCTTCCTAGTGACCTTGATAATAAAACAAAACACATTTTGGAAGTGACCCCAAACAATAATCCATCATCATACCATTGTGTGACTTCTAGATGCCGTTTTTATTCGACTTGGAGAGTTCAAAGTTTAGCTAAAGTTCTGTGAAACTTCACCGGTTTATTATTAAGGACATTTTTCTTTATTTAAAACTTAAGTGCAATGGCCAATGACCTGCCAATTCTTAAACATTTGTCTTGCATTTACTACTGAACACATTAATCATCGGCTAACGCTAGCTAATCCATCAGCTAGCAGCACCAGTGTCTTGTGAGCATCGCTAAAACTTTGCTCAACCATGACTTTACAGTTTCGTGAATGAAACAAGAGCTCTGTTCGATGCAGCACGCTTAGAAAGTCCAACACCAGACTTTAATGAACCTAATAAATCAATCAGGGTCAAAGGTCAGCTGAAGGGCTAGCAATCAGGCTGATTCAATACAGATCCAAGTAGTCGATATAACTGTGTGAACTACTCCTAAGCATCCTGAGAGGTCAAATATGGATCAAATGGATCCACCAACACAAACAGCAGTGATACCAAAGACTTTAAATAACCAGTAAAGGTAATACAGTTGCTATTAACCAAACCAGATGGAAAGACGTGCAAAATATTCCTCAGCTAAGTTAAAATATAATAAAATACTCAATTGTGTAACCTACTAGGGAATCATAGAGTGATTGGCTCCTCTAAGAAAGACAAACTCCCATGGAAACATGATTTGTGATTAAAAAAATAGAATAATATTGACGTACTATTTTGGCACACGTCTCTCTCTTTCTGTATCTTCATCATCACGGATCATTCGCAAATTGTTATTGGATACGTGTTTCATGCATGAGGGCGATTCATCACTGATTCACTTTAATAAAGACACCAGTGTGCATTTCTATTCTTGCCACCACAATCAAAGCGCGGTGCTGCAATATGATCAAATAAATTATCTTTTTATTAAGCGTTCTCTCTCGATGCACAGCAGGCGGCAGCGGCTACTTTTCATCTGTGTTTTTATTATTCACATTCTCATTAATATGAATACATAAAAGCCAAATCAAGTGTTTTATAAATGTTGTAGCTGGGAAAAAAAAGAGTTCTGTCATCTTTATACTGATACTAGTCAGATAACTGAAATGAACCTGGCGTATTTGGGAAACTCGTTTGGTGTAACAGGCCCCTGATGTCAATTAAAATAATAGAAACGTCCTCATATCTGTTCTGTACTGTAACCAGTGTAGCAGCTGGTATCTGTACGTCTATATATATAACTTAGTGTATGTGAATATGTTGTTGCTATGGGATGTGTTGCTCTGTGTTCGCTGTGACCTGACCAGCTGGTCTCTGGCTTCATGCGGCTCTTATCAAATCCTGGATCAGTGACAAGTTGCACCTGTAGAGAAACCTGCATACAGAGTGACTCACCGTTCTCATTCTGCACTGAGGAAAGTCCAACATGGACTGAAATGTTTCTGCACATTTCCACTTCTGTATAATTTATCAAATAGTGTGTAAAATCCAGACCCTTTTTTTTTTTTCTTCTTTACATCCTGTGCGAAAGATATTTTCGAACTTTTCCTGAGCACCAGAGAGGAAAACCAAACAAAGGGGAAGTTTTCTCAGGCTGCACTTCAAACTCTTCTGAACTACCAGTAAAACCAAACAGCATGTTGGCACTTGCCTGAAGGAAAACTAAACATTATTAAAATGCATACCAGCCCACATACATCCTCACACCCTCCCGCACCGAGAGCCAAGTGTAAATTATTCCTTTTTTTTTTAGTTTGTTTGTTTATTCCGGCTGGTGGGTGGGGTTGTCACTTATGCAATCTAGTGTGGTATGAAAAAGCTGTCTGAACGCGGTGCAGTTAACATGAAGGACACGGCCACCCTGCCTCTCTCTGGCTTCCAAAACAGCAGATCCCAGACGCCATCTGCTCAACCTGCACGCTGCTCTTTATCCATATGCACGGCAACCAGTAGCGGTTGAAACTGTTGCCTGATCAGGAGCATTGATTTGCTGTGTGCTATCGGCAAAGACATCTGCATATGTTTTCACCTGGGACGATTTCATTAAGTTATGCTTGATTTTGAAGCTAAATAATAGACACTTAAGAGCTGTATGTTTTGATTGGTAGAGATGTTGGCATGGGGGATGTTTTTCTTCCTCTAAAATATATTTTAATTCTGTATTTAGAAACCTTCAGCTTGTTTGCACAGTATATTTGGTTGAACATGTGCCTTTTTTTTCAGGTTTGTTGGAGGAAAGTTGAACATGTGCTACAACACCGTGGATCGACACGTAGAAAGCGGCCGCGGAGAGCAGCCTGCCATCATATACGACAGCCCGGTGACTGGAACTAAGCAGGTCATCACTTTCAGGGAACTTCAGAACCAGGTAAATAGTGCGGTGTTGTTAGAATCAGAGGACGGAACAGAACGGCACAAAGAGCTGCACCGATATGGAATTTCATCACATAAAGCCTGGTCTGGGCTGGTCTGAGATGTGTGGTTAAAAAAAAAACAAAAACAAATCGATTGTGAGGCATGCAGGCAAACTCTGCTTGGGGTTTGAGCTCCTAAAGTAGAATCTGTCAGAGTTGCCATGACAGTAAATACATTTTCCATCGCTCGGCTGAGACAGTTGGTTAGGTTTTTCCGCCATGGCAACTGGATTGAGCCCACATTAGTGTGGAGGACAGAAAAACAAAAGCACAGAATGAAAGAAAAACATGACATTTGGACAGATTCAGTGGCGTGCACTATAATCAAAAAGTTTTCTAAATGGACCAAAGTATAGCCACAGCTTTTTTTTTCTTTTTCCCCACAAAGCTAAAAGGCATTCAATTTAATTTTCAAACAGAATTTCAAGTTGGATTTGTCAGTTGTTTTTTTTTTTTCAGTTGAAGGCAATCAGAAATGGACTTTGGATAAATCCACCTTTTTTTTTCTCCCCTTCACATTAGTAATACAAAAATCATGCACAGTGTGTATGGAAATGTCAGCCTCTCAGTATCATCAGTGGTTTATTTTAAGTCATGAGCTCTTATCTCAAATGGATTTCTGCAGACATTACCTTCACCAAAATCTATGTGATTATTCAGCACTCTGTCTCCTCTGTGTCTCGAACCAGGTGTCCAGGTTAGCAGGCGTCTTGGTGAAGAACGGGGTGAAGAAGGGCGATCTCGTAGTCATCTACATGCCCATGGTGCCCCAGGCCATGTTCACCATGCTGGCCTGCGCTCGAATCGGTGCCCCGCACAGCCTCATCTTCGGGGGCTTCGCCTCCAAAGAGCTCTCCGTCCGCATCGATCACGCCAAGGTTAGCAATCACTGCTATTCACCTTGTGGTTGATATTGAATTTTTTATTTACTGGAGTCATGACAGCAGGACTCCGTGATGCTTTGCTAAGTCAGCCACTCATTGGTCATCAGCCTCTCCTTGGCTTTCCAGACTGAGGATATGGTTGCAGCTAATAATATTACAATTCCAATTTTTATGTGCTGTTATCATACATCCTGTGAGATATCTGAGCCACTGAAAGCCAAATGTACCTGAGGCTTTTTTTGTTTCATTAAGCGTAACATGAATTATTCACAATGGAAAGCACTTGACTTGCCTTTTGATTTTGCAACCACTTGCATACACTCGAGAATGATGTCAGCGCCGTTCGCGTGGAGGCTTTTTCTTTTTTATTAACGTGGCAGTGGAAGAACTAATGGACCAACCCGGCATTTTGACAGCAGTTGTTTCTGAAGATAATGATCCCTGTTTAGTGACAAATACAAATGAGAGAAAACACAGTATTATTAAGCATTGCCAAGCGGCTTAATCAAGTGTAGCATCTGTAATTGTTGATGTACACTTTGGGGGACAATTAATGATGAACAAACACAACGTTGTCACAGAAATCAACCCCTTTTGTTGCTGTTCTGCATAAAGCAGCAGAGTGAAGAATCTTTGCTCAGCATCACTGCAAACAATGTGATGCACTATAATGCCAGTGGAAAAGCTTTAATGTGAAGCAGCAACAGTAGAAAGATTAGCAGTAATTTAACACATGGCAGACCGTGTGCTAGTTGTATGTCATCGACTTTGTAGTTTTGGTCAATGTACATTAAACCTCTAAGTCTTAAAGATTACTGGAAATGTTATGGAGACAGGTGTGTTGCAAGCCATGGGTTTATTTTGGCATCACATGCACGTTAATAAGGCTTACGTGAACCGCATTTGACTCCACTCTGGTATGCTGCTGGAGGCGGCAGACTCGTACCGCTAATATCCTGGTTAAAATGCAGCAAAGCAAAAACATTTTTAAGCGCCGATGAGCACTCAGGTCTTGTTTTCGTAGCTGAAGAAAATGATCTTGATGCTGTAAGCCGGTGATGTTTTGACACAGTCCAATTCTGCAGTGATGTGTGTTCTTCAGCCCAAGCTGATAGTTACAGCCTCATTTGGCATCGAGCCAGGCAGAAGAGTCGAGTACATCCCTCTGGTGAAGAAGGCCTTGGAGCTGAGCTCTCACAAGCCCTCCAAAGTCCTCATCTACAACCGGCCCAACATGGTAAGAAGCACCAAGCACCATTGACCTAAATTTCACAGCGTGGTTTCGTTTTTCAACCTGCTCAACCTGTGACAGACTGTATCGAAAAGATGGAAGCTGTGTGGAAATTTAGTTTAGGCATCATTTAGCTACTCTTTGAAGAATCTGATTTTGAAAGATTGCGTTATTTTGACCAAATGTTTATCAGCAATAAGACACCGCTACACATGGACAGATAAAATGTATAGCTGGTGTAAATAAGACACTGATCAATGTGTGTGTTTGCAGCTGAGGGATGGAGGCTGCCGCCTGTCATAGGCAGTCTGGCATAGATCCAGTTTGGAAGCAGACTTTTCTTGTAGAATAATTATACAAACACAGCATACAATTATGCATTAATGTGCTGACAGGCCCTAGTTTATATTCAGAGATGGATGAAGCAAGATGCCACATCGCCAATTGGTTTGCAGTGGAGCAAGTTTGAAGGCTGAAGTTGCAGCTTATAGTGGAAGCCGTCTCTCTGTTTGGAGTCAGAGCCTTCCACGTTAGGAGTGTTAGCTTTCACACTTTAGGAGCAAACCTGTTGAAAAT